GAAAGATGGAGATTCTTTTGATGTGGAGGAGACAGTCAGAGCTATCTCAGGGTGGACTGACTGATAAATGCATGCCTCCAGCCTTCTCTCCTATTTATCCATCTGCCCACCCATGTTGTCATGAGTGCATGTAAAATCCATTTATACGTCTTTCAGTCACCCACCCTTACATATATGCTCCCCCACCCACTCACTTAATAATCCATCCATTCATCTACCCATTTACTCTTTCACCCACCTACCAATCCACTCACCCATCCTCTCTCTCACCCCCTACCTCCCCACCCACCCATTGTATCCACCCAATTGTCAATCCACCTACTCACTCACCCACCAACTACCCACTCACTCATTTACCTGGTCATCCATCTATCTGTCCATCCATCCTTCCTTCCATCCATTCATCCACCCACTCATCCACCCATTCACCTGTATTCATCCATCCACCCTCTCACACTTCCTCCTACTTACCCACCCACCCATCTTTTGAGAGACAAGGTGGCATGATGGCTCATAGAATGCACTCTATGCTGTCATATGGGTGGCAAGTGTCTGTTGCCCTCCATGTTTTACAGTCACTCTGTTGTTGACTTGTCTTGGCTTAGGTAAGCCAAACCATTTTCCTCAGGTGTCAAGAGGGAAGAAAAACGCATAGTCTTTGGAGGTCATAGGCATCCAGTGAACTGTAAAGTCCAACAGACCACCCAGACAGATACACTCATGGCCAGACCTCCATCTTAGGGACAGGGTGCTGCCTCTGACACACACCTTATTGAAGGGAATGTATATTTGAACCTATCACCCTGAGAAGGTACAGCTCCAGCCTGCTTCCTGGCTTTGGGTGAGGGGGTGATTCTTTGTGCCCTGTCCTAATCACTGGAGACCACGTTCTTCAGCTCTCCTTGTCTGCTAGTGGGAACCCCTGTGGGGAGCTGACAGCTTCCTGCACACCCAGCCCCCAGGGAGTCACCACTGCAGAAGCAAATGGAATTGTGCAGTTGGTGTAATTTGCTGATTTGCTTAAGTATCACCCCCAGTTAGAGACATGACAGAAATCCATTAGTATGGCTCCACCCCCAGCTTCACCAGCACTGGAAGTAGGATGGATGGGTGGTGAGAAATGGAAGCCAGGCTGAATCAGAGATGTAGGCAGCCAGTGGTGGTCACCCTGCCCTTCCTGCTGGATTCTCTTGTCACCTGGTTCAGTCCTTATCCTATGCTTGGGGAAGAGCTGATGAGGCTCCCAGGCTGACTGAGGGTCTGGTGGCCTTGAATGATTTGGAGTCAGTGACTCAGAGGTACCAAGTAGTCAATACCTGTAACATCACCCCTGCATCTGAGATGTGGGGCCCCTCCATCTACTGGCTTCCGCTCTGAGGCCCTCAGATATGGAGTACATTTGATGGCATCTACCTTGTATAGCTCTGTGTGGAATTGAGAGCTTGATGACACTAGGGCAACTGCTCATGGTGGGCCCCAGGGATGGGTGATCTGTACTGCTCCTCCCTGCCACTCTGCCCACTCAGTCTCCAGCTCTGGAAGCTACCTGCTCAATACTCAGCTACAGTGCTGCAGGTGGCTTTCCTCACCAGACTTATGCTAGGAACAGAGATGGGCAGAGCTAACACCCCTGTTTCTGGGGCTTTCCACAGAGGGCTAGGTTGTAGTAAACCTCAGGATGGGTCTTGGAGGCCCTCATCTCTCACAGCTTCAAATGGAAACTCCCAGGCCAAGGCACAATTATTGCAAGGCTCCAAAGTCCAAATGCCTGTGATGTGGACAGCACCTCGAAATGAGTGAGTTGGACTGTGTGAGATGATAGGACTTGTGGGGACTGGAGAAAATGGGTGTTTTCATCCTGTCTAAGGGGATACATAGCACTTCATGAGTGAACCAGGACCACCACACATTACTAACAACAAAGTAGTGATAATAATGAAATAATGAATAAGTGAAGTTTTATTGGGGATCTCTCAAATTTATTTTTGGCAACAAATTAAAATAAAAACAAAGTTGTATCAAGCTAAATATATCTGGGTGTGTGGGGGGAGGGTTGGGACTTGTGGCTTCTATTGTATTATGGTTCAGAGGAGTTGATTTCTTTTTCCTTTTGGGTATCAAAAGTCTTTGTTCATTTCCATTCAGTGTGTTCTGGGGTGCCAGAGATTTCTCACAAGGGAGATGTTCTTGCTCCCATCTCTCATATGAGGAAACCCAGGCATGATGGGGTGCTAAGCTTCACAGGGGGTTAATGGTGGAACTGAGCCATGGACTCACATCTATTTCATGGTGTCCCAGAGCTGATAAGCAGGCGTGGAGCACTGAGTCAGTGTGCAGATTGGGGATCTGTGATCTCTGTGTTCCTCTGCTGCCACACTGCCCTGGCCAGGCAGAGAATGAGTGGCTGTTCACAACGCTTTACTTAACTGTCAGGCATGAGGCTGAGCAGGTTGTGTAGGTCTCAGCTGGGCAAGCTTGGGAAAGTGCAGTTAGAATGTGTTATGTGTGTGTGGGGGGAGAGGGGGTGGTGGTGGAGAGTTTGAGCCAGGCAAAGTTACAGGAAAGAACTTCAGGACAAGTTAGTGAGGAGCAGAGTCAAGGTTTATTAGATTTAAAATTGTGTCTATGTACTTTTGAGTGCAGCAACTACAGAGGCCAGCATAGGGCATCATTCCACTGGGACTGAAGTTATAGGCTGCTGTGAGCCTCCAGATGTGGGTGCTGGGGACAGCATTGAGCTTCCCTGGAAGGGCAGAAGCATTTTTAACTGCTGCACCATCTCTCCAGACCCTAGAAGAAATTTTGACAGTTTGAAGTGTGGGTATTAGAGGGGGGATATAACTTGGGAAAAAGATATTGTGCATTACTGTACCCCAGGTCTGGGCATGTGCCACGTGGGGGAAGAGAGGGAGAAAGAGAGAAAAGGGTGGGGGAGAAGGAGGGAGAGAGAGCAAGTTGACCTTATTGTCCTTATGTTGGTCATGTATACGATTGAGTAGCTTTTGAAGTTATATCTCCAAAGGTTCCTAAGGGTCTCTCTCTCTGTCTCTGCCTCTCTCTCTCTCTCTCTCTCTCTCTCTCTCTCTCTCTCTCTCTCTCTGTGTGTGTGTGTGTGTGTGTGTGTGTGTGTGTGTGTGTGACAGAGGGTGGTTTCTGAAATACAGTAAGTAGACAGGATTATGGTTGATTAGGTAAAGCCCTGGGTCACAAGGGTTACACGGGACTTGAGAGTTGTTTTCTCTGGGAACAAATTTAATCGCCTTGTCAGTGAGATTCCCAGAAAACTGCAGGTCACACTTGGAAAGAAATGAGGGCATATTCCAGGTCACATGCATGAGCACTGAGCACAGATTGCTGCCACTTGAACATGATTTTAAGTGTCTCTGTGTGAAAGGAACACTGGCTGTGTTGTCAACCTTGATCCTCAGAAGCTTCAATCGGACTCTGTGGGTGAGGGGCAGGGTGGGTGAGGGACTCTATCCTGTTCCCGTGTCCCCCGAATTTTTCACCTTTCTGTCTTGCCTGGCTTATGCAGTGGTGACTGCATGGAGTCCCATTGTATCACATGTCACAAAGCCCTAAGCCTGACCTGCCTGGCCTGGCTCTCACTTGAGGGTGGGACCGGGCTTCTTCCCAGAATGCACATAGCAGTTGAGTCTCAACATAGTTGTTGAATCTGATTCCAGATCCTGAGTGTGGGCTACTGAGAAGACAGGCAGCAGACCACACTTGGTTCTTCTGGGAATGCACTCACATAGGTTTTGTGTGTGTGTGTGTGTGTGTGTGTGTGTGTGTGTGTGTGTGTGTGTGTGTGTGTGTGTGTGTAGGCCAGAGGTCAGTCTCCAAGTCATTCCTCTGGTGCTTTCTGTCTAGATATTTTTAGACAGGATGCATCACTAACCTGGAGCTCATCATGTAGGCTAGGCTGGCCAGCTAGTGAGCTCAGGATCCACCTCTCTCTAATTCCCCGGGACTTGGATTACAAGTGTGTGCTACCAGTCCTAGATTTAAAAACAGCACAGCAACATGGGTTCTTGGGCTGGAGCAGAGAAAACACTTCATCAGCTAAGTTATCTCCAGAGTCCAACTCTTCATTTTCCAGGGATTCCAGAGCCAGCACAGCTTCCTGAGTGAAGCAGCTCAGGCAGAGGGTTGAGCAGTGTGGAGCCTGGGCATGGAGTGAGAGCAGGGTGAATGGCATCTTCTGGGCTGAGGGGGGGTGGCCTGTAGCTGGGCAATGCCCAGTCACTTTGAGGCTATTAGCCTCCTGTTTTTTTGTATCTTTTTACATATTTATTTATTTATTTATTTATTTATTGTTTTTTTTGAGACAGAATTTCTCGGTGTAGCCCTCGCTATCCTGGAGCTCACTCTGTAGACCAGGCTGGCCTTGAACTCAGAGATCCACTGCCTCTGCCTCCTGAGTGCTGGGATCAAAGGTGTGTGCTGCCACCACCCAGCTTGTTTTTTGTAACTTGATTGTGTGGTTCTCAGCGTGAACTTTGCAGATGGCATCACACCATAGTGTTCAAAATGTCAGGTATTCCTGTACCTTGTTTTGACTGTGAATTCCTTGTTGGTGCTGCTGGGCACTTGGAGTGTTCCCTGAGTGTAGCATCTCTGAAGGTCTGAATAGGGCTCTACAAAGAACTTGCAATATCTGTTGGGATGTGTAGGCTGAGGAGCCCAAGATAGAGAAAGCTGAGAGTCATAGTGGTAGCTTGGAAACAGAGAAGGTGAGGCTGGCACCCTGCAGCTTAGGTGCTGGGGAGGACCCTGTCCTTGTGCTCAAGACTGATGGCTAGTAGAAGTCCAGGCAGGCGGAGCCAGGGCCAGTGATGGGGCTGCTGCCTCCTCTGGTACAGAGCACAGGATGGGGGCGGTGGGTGTCCCTGCTGGGGGATTACATTGGTTGTCCTCAGATCTCTCCCTTTGGTGGCTCTCTGGCTTTCAGAAGGGCCGCCAGCAAGCAGCCTGCTCTGTGCGTGTCCATCCCACAGGCAGCCTGCCCTATGAGTACAAGATCGTGATTGCGGGCAACCACGAGCTGACCTTCGACCAGGAGTTCATGGCTGACCTCATCAAGCAGGACTTTTATTACTTCCCGTCCGTGTCCAAGCTGAAGCCGGAGAACTATGAGAATGTGCAGGCGCTGCTGACCAACTGCATCTACCTGCAGGACTCAGAGGTCACTGTGCGTGGCTTCAGGATCTACGGCTCCCCGTGGTGAGTGTGCCCGACCCCTGTCTTCACCACTGGTTATGGCAAGAGAGAGTGGGTGGTGGTGACTCCAGTCTCCTAGAGGTGCTGGGGACCCAAAGCTGAGGCTCAGGGCCAGTGTAAAGGGGGCAGAGGATCTGGGATTTTAATTTTGTCCTTCTCCTTCTCTGTCTGACCTCAGGCACCACTGCCAACCATGGGCCTCAGTTTCCCCGTTTGGAATCAAGGAAGGGTAACCTGACATATCCCCTGCATACTGTTTTACATGCAGGCAGGTGCCTTTGGCTCCAGCTCTCTCAGGGAGAGTGAGGACTCCTCCCCTACACAGACGGGCAGGGGAGGGGCTTCCTGGCTTTCAAACATCAAACACGAGCCTCTAGGGGATCTTCCCTTTCTGCCTGTCTTTTGTCCTCCCACAGAATGGTGTATGGGGAGGTTTGAACCACCTAACTGAAGAAAGGCATTTGGGATCTTCAGATAGATTCACCATGCCCTTTCCTGTGTGGTGACAGCAGCTGTTTGAAAACAAATGCATATGAATCCTTATTTTGATGGAGACACAGTGACTGACTGGGCCTTGTCTCAGAGCTCAACCTGGTTGAGTGGTGCTCAAAGTGACCATGGGTCCAGACTGTCTCTGTGATGGTCTGTGTGTCCACGACAATGGTATTGACTGTAGGCTGCTGCTGCTGCTGCTGCTGACAAGAATGGCGATGGCAAAGGTGACGATCTGCAGTGATGATGGTTAGGATAGCTGTGATTCGGATGAGGGCAGTAGTCATAATAATTATGTTGGTTATGATGATGTCCTGATGGCAGCAATGAGAATGACAGTGATGATAATGGTTATGGTGATGTTGGTGCTGATGATGATCAGGCGATGGAGAAGAAGGTGTGGATGCTGCTGTTGGCTGTGGCATCATGTCATTGGTCCATGGATCAAAGCCTCCACGATACTCTCTCGGGACTTACTTGTTATCCACTTTCTACACGTGGACAGATCTATTGGCCCTTTAGTGGCCATAGGGTGTGAAGTGCTGTCTGGGTGAGGGGGAGCTCCCCAGAGGCAGTGAATGACCCCAGCCTTGTGGGGGGGGGCAAGGACTTGTATAGGCTGGGAGGCAGAGGCACTGACTGGGGACATGGGTGTCTTCAGGGTGAAGAGCCATGTAAGCAGCACATCTGGGAAACCCTGGAATGTGTGTTTGATGCCCATTAGTGATTTGAGGCTGAGGTGGGTTAAGGACCTGTGTGGATCATAGAAATCCCAGGAGAGAAGGGAGGTGCCAGCCTGACCCATTCTCCAGAAGGAGCGTGCTGTCTCTGCCCCAGGCTTGGGATGCTTAAGAGTTTGATGTACTCTGCTGGTGTCTGTGAGGGTTCTTTGGACACTTAAGCATGTGAGAGACTTAAAACCAAGGGCAAGGAGGTGAGAAGGTGGCTGAGGCTGCCCAGCAGGCCGGGATTGGGGTCTGGAGAAGCCTGGTCACACAACAGCTCATCAGGAGCTCATACTGTGAGGTGTGAACAAAGGCTTCCATACTGAGGCTGGCACAGCCTGGGCAGGGCAAAAGTGGAGCTGGGCTAGCAGGGTAAAGAGGTGAGGCTCTGTGTGAGGTCAAGAATCAGAACTGGCTCTTTGCTCTGTGGTTTACAATGTGCTACACATGCATACACACATACACCACACACATACATACTACACACACACTCATACCACACACATACACACTACACACACCACACACACTATACATACACACACCACTCATACTGTACACACACACACACACACAACACACACCATAATACACATTACACACATGCACACACCACACATAACACACATACACACACCATACTACACACACATTACATACTCATACTATACACACTACTCACACACTACACACACACATGCACATAACACACATACCACACCACACTACACACACACAAACACTACACACACACACACACACACTACACACACACACACACACACACACACACACACACACTATACACACTCCTCACACATACTACACACACACACATCCCACTTTAAGAAAAGGTATTGTAAGGGTTAGAGGTGTGGCTTAGGGACTAAATAACCGAATTTAACTTTAGCCTCACATTTTGTAGGGTGTGTGACCCTGGGTGTCACTGGATGACCTCTCTATGCCTTGGTTCACTTTCTTACAGAAAGGGGGTGGTAGTGTGCCCTTCTCCAGTGGGTGACTATAAGGTATCAGAGGTTTCCCCAGAGCCCATGACAGTTGTCATAAGTGCATAGAGAATAGAGACCTGTTTTATTTGCTTGTCCTAGGGAGGCCCTTCCTACATGTTCTAGTGAGGAGGGTGAGGGGACTGGGGAGAGGGACAGGGCTCTCAGGGTCCCATCACTCAGTAGCCAGGCTCATCAGAGCCCCCTGATAATCAGCTGGGTGACTCAGCACTAGGGCTTCCTAGCTGTTCAAGAGAGGTCGCACTCCATCACTGAACTGGCTGTGAGGATGAGACTTGAGTGAGACCAGCTGCCAGTTCATCTCTTGCCCAGTTACTTTGCGCTCTGGCCACCAGTGACCCCATGTGACTTTCAATTTGGACATCACTGGCCTCTTTAGTCCCTGGCTTCCCCCAGGCCCAGAGATCAAGGGGCCCTTTCTTCTTGACCCTAGACCTGTGTCAGTGGGAGTGTAGGCTGGCCAGCAGAGTAAATGAAGGGGGGTGTAGCTGTGCTCTGAAAGGGCATGGTGGAATCCAGGATACTTCCTGTTGTGATGAGCTTTAGAACTGGGACTAAAGGAGGCGTGACTCGGGAGGGCGGGCACTTATATTTCTCAACCTGGCTCTGTTTATGTGGCATCCTGCTCCCAATCCCAAGGCCATTCATTCTGTGTTCAGGGTTCTGCCCATTTCCTGGGGGTCACCTGGGGCTGGGAGCAGGTGGCAGGAGGTGCCACACAGCCTGATAAACTGGCTATTTCACTGCTGGGAGTGGATTGCTTGGATCTCCTTCTGTGGTGCCACATATGAAGTCCTGAGAGCTGTCCCCTCTCCTCTGGGATCTGCACGCTGGGGAAACTGGGTGTCTGCCAGTGTGCTCACACACAGGCTGTGAAAATCAAGGCACTACCACTCTAGGCAGCCTCTCTGGTCCCACTGTGTCATGGGAAGACGGTGCCACTGCATTATAGCAGGGCTTGAGGTGTGTCTGGATGAAGGGACAGGGGAGGCACCATCAATGGGTTAGGCATGACCAAGGGGGCAACCTCAGAAGGGGGTTAGCTCGATGCTAGCTTGGGGTTAGGCTAGCAGCCATCCCCATTTTAGAGATTGGCAAGAAGAAGTTCAGGTAGGCACATGGTTCAGCCAGGGTTACCAAGACAGAGGTCCCTCAGGTTCTTGCCGAGCTCCCGGTAAGCTCTGCCCTTTCTGGAGTTGAGACCATGCAGTACTTTCCTAAGTACCACTCGGGTACCCCAGGGGAGATGGAGGCCTGAGACTCACTCTCCTGGTTTATCAGTAAATGCATCGAGTCATCCATGAGTATTTTTTGAGAGCCTGGCACCCATGAAGCCCCTATGGACTTGGTGGGAACTCAACTATTGTAGACACTGCCGTCCTGGGTTCCTGCCCTGGTGACAAACGGCAGTCAGCAGCTGTCCCCTGATTCAGAAAGAAGTCCTGGGAGTTGTGATCTGGGAAGAGCACTCATGGAGAGAGTTTGGAACTGAAGAGATCACAGAGCTAAGGAGGTAGGGAAGGGTGTGGTTTGTCATAGGCAAAGGCTACGAGGCTGGAGAGAGCACCAGGCTTGTGGGCACTGGAGCATTACTTCCAGGCCCAGAGTGGGTCACAGTAAGAGTCAGAAACCACAGGCTGAGCAGCCTGGGTACTTGGCTGGCAGCTCTGCTCTGTCTTTCCCCAAGCTACTGGGAACCAGGCTTTCCAGAGTAACCTCCCTCAGTGTCCCTCAGGGAGGGAGGGAGGACTTGAAGACCAGTGCAACGCTGAGGTGGATGGATGGTTGGGACCCACTGCCTCCCTGTGGCTCTTTTGCAGGAGAGCTTTATGGATCCACCACTCTGTGCCTGTGGGCACCCAGAGGCATGCTTACCCAGGAAGCTGTGTCATTGATGGGGTATGTGCACCTGTGGGTTACAGGTGACCCCTCTCCTCTATCCCCTGTCTCAGGAGGCCCCAGGGGAAGTCATTATGTCCCTGCTAGTGAGGCTTTTGTGCATCTTGCCAGTGTTCCTGGCCTGGTGAGCGGCCCTGTCACCTAGGAGTCAGGTTCCAGTCCTGCCACTGAGTTGCAGAAGCACTGGCCAAGCTGTAGAGCCTTCCTGAGGCCAATGTCTGGCCAGTAAATGTGACAATATCATGAGTCACAGGATACAGGGTTAGACAGTACTCTTCCAGGTCCCTTGGTGGAGAAAGGACCCTCAGTGGCTGGTATTCTGGGGATGATAAAAGTCACACACATAGAAATGGTATAAACCAGCCTTTAAAAGTGTGTCCATAGCTTAAGAACCTCCTGGCCTACCTGTGGACTCTACCCAGACCTGGGTGAGATGTGTGGGATGAAATCTCCTCAGCTGTGTCCCGAGGTTTGAGGAGACACACTCAACTTCTGGGCATGGTCAGCTACCCCCAGAGCAGCTCATGGTGGGACAAACTGACTGATAGTTATTGACACACCCAAAACCAGCCTAATCTACAGTCAGCCTCTCATTGAGACTCCCTTCCCAGATGACTTTGTCAAATCGATGATTTTAAAACTACCCGGGTGGCAGGGTTATTGCTTCTTCCTCCCTGGACACATTGGCTGATGTGTGGCATTCAGGTATTCTTTGCAGCTTCAGAGGCATGGTTATGTCAACAGGGGTTTGGGGTGGGTCACACAGCATGGGGTAGGGGTGATAAGCAGGTTGTCACCAAGATGGGAAAACTTTCATATGCAGGACTGCAGTATGAGAGCCCTGTGTCTTTAATAAGAG